GTCTCTCAGCCCTAACATTTTTGAAAAATGAACATCAGCTAGTGTTTTTTCTTACATCATAACGAATAATTTCGTAATTTTGTTCTATGTCTTAATTTTTCATGTTCGTCATGCTACGAGTATTGCAGTCAATTATAAAAGAATAAGCATTGCGCCAGAGCGTATTAGAGCATCGGAAACCTAATCGAAAGAATTTTTCTAATTCCAATTGCTTCTGAGTTCAAACGTTGTATTAAATATGTTATGTTTTCGAATACTCAAAATTCAATGGTTACGTTGCTTAAAATCGGAATGGGATTAAAGTGGAAAATAAAACTTCAAACAAAAATTACTTGGTCGGACAAAACTAATTCGTGTGATGTGGGTTGTCTATAATTTAAGGTGAGCAGAGGTAAATTCTCTACGGCATCCGTGCAATGAACTCACAAAATGAAGTGGCTAATTAATTTTATTTCGTGTTACCTACTTTTTATAGTTCTACTATTTATAATACAATTTTACAATTTATTCTAATTGACGTTCTCCTTGTTCTCGCGGTAGTAAGTCGATTCTTTCACGAAGGGATAAGAGCCTGAATCTACATTTGACTTGACCTTGAAAATAGATTTTATTCCACCGGAGTAATATTTTTTATATCAATTATTGTCATAAACGCTTGATTCCACCTGTATTCATAACTCAACTTGTGAATAGGTTAGAGTAGTGATCCCAGAATTTAAGAAAATGTGTACGGAATACGCAACCCCCCTGTAGTACGTCACACAGAGCTTTTAACAATTTTTTTCGATAAATAAAAAGGTTTTTGTAATTTCAAAAATACCTTTCCCTCTGGAAATGAAACATTGTGGAACAATAAAGAAACTTTATCTTATTTTAATGCATTTTCTTAGACATAGAATATGAAGTTAAAATTTGATGCAATATAGGACTCTCGGGAAGTAATTCAGTTTGATACCTTCTCTGTGAATTTCCCCCCCAATCGACAAAACATTGCTCAAAAGAGTGACCAAAAGCGATTACACGTGGATGAAACGTTTTAACTTCTGGCTAACGTCCAAACCTTCTTTTGAATCAGGGCCGGGGCCTACGTGTATGCAGACCCACGAAACTGCGTATACTTCACCTGACGCCCTGTAGTCAGATGAGTATAAATAACGTTCTGCGAGCGGCAAGAACCAGAAGTGGGGCCGAGGGTCACCACGCACGCCCATTTGGTTATTCTAATTAAACGAAATTACTCTGCTGCATGGCGATTGCATTCGGTCTCCTTGTTCGGTACATTAGAAGTTATTTTATGCGTTTAATCGATTAATGCTTTAAATGACCTATTTATTACAGTTTCCGAAACCTGGTAGAATTTTATAATTGTTTTATAATGACAGAATTTTCGTAAAATTTGTTGTGTACATAATGTATTTTATTTTTTTAATGTTCCTTTTTTACTCCACTTAAATTCCGCCGCATGTATGGAAATAAAATATATGGAGACAGAAATTCGAGGATCATGAGTGCTCGACACTTCCGTTTTTACGTACTTTAGTTATCGATAGTTTTTCGTCGTGATGAGGCTTGACGATAGCTGATGCCCAAAGATTTACCATCAGTGGTCCGATACGTTTCATCAACTTGTCTAATATGTGGTGACGATTCGACTTCGATGTTTCAAAGGTCAGCTACGTAGTCTTTTATAGTCGTTTTAACCTGTGTCAATCGTAGATATAGAATACGTATATTGTTATCTTTTGTGATTACCGACGCTTTTTGTGAAGTTGGTTCCTGTTAGCGAACTTTGTTGAGGACTTAACATGACAGTAAAATTGCGCTTGGGTAATATAGCGGCACATAAGTACGTTGAGTCGTAATAGTTCTTTCTTTATAGGGTCTGCGTCATGCTCGTGCGCGAACACTGTTATCGTGTAATGCAACACAGCGGTGTGGTCGAAGTGCCGTTTGCATCGGATTTCATCACTTCATTCGAGAAGATTTAGGTCTGAGTAATGTTTCCAGATTGACAGAAATACCTATGACTAATTGTCCTATCTTTATTTATAGTTTTAGTTGAACGTTCTTTGTTGCAATTTCTAAAGAATTTATACTAGTTTGTTAAAAAGTTAAGGACATCGCTTCGGCAAGAACGTGTTGGGATAAGGAAGTTCCTTGTTGGTCAGTTGTCCTTCTGAAGTGTGGATAGCTGAAGATAACATGTTTATCTCCAAAAGCGTCAAAAGTAATACTTTCGAGTGTGTTTTCGTTTTCGAGAGTATCCTCGCATATTCTTCTTGCGTAATAATTCATAGTTACAGAGTGAACTGAATGGGACAAAGGTAACGGAGCTCGAATCGACAGTAGACGTTCAGAAACGGGGTGAGCGGGAGAAAAGTCTGATCTATTTATACCGCTGTTATCTCATTTACCTTTTTTCTATTGCATTGTTGAGTAACGTCGTGATTAAGGGGCGTGCTCCCCTCAGCAGACACTATGCAAGGTTAAAGTTCAGGAGCAAATGAAGATTGACTATTTATTTGGTACTCGCCCAGCAAATCCGATATTTTAAAAATACAGGTATTTCAAAACGCAACTAGGTGTGAATAAGTGTTCAATAGGTCCGAAATTAAAGGAAAAAAGTTTTGAATAAAAAAAAACATTTAAATACTTACAATCGTAGTTGTGTATTTTAATTTAATTGTCTAAAGTGAACTGTTCATATGTGTCGCTTTTTCTTCGGGGCCAAAAGGGAAGTTGGAAATAGTAATTTTTTTCCCTTGTATTAAAAAATGTATAAATTCGCGATTGTTCGGTTTCTGTCAGAAATGGTTATCGGTTTAGTTGCCGGAAATTAATTGATTCAGATTCTTCTGATGTATTTGTGAATTGCACGAATGAAAGTGAAACATAACTTACGTTTGTGTTGCCGGGATCCGCTGTTATTTCGGGTTTTCTATTAGATCTTATGAATTTGTGAAAGATAATTTATAGAATTTTAGTTTAGTTATGCTTTAAATTTGATAATTATTTTAGTAAGTTTGTGGATGAGAATAAAGCAAAGCGCAAGGCTGGACAATGCAAGGCATGTTGTATCGAAGAAGGACGAGGGATATCCTAGAATAAGTAGAATTATTTTTCCTGTCTAATAGATAATTGTGATAAATTAATTCTCGGCCAACAGTTTGATATAAACGGATTAAAATGTATCGTCAATAAAAATAGTGCCGTTCGGGTGGCGAAGATCTTTAAGGCAGTAGTGCGATTCGGACCAAGGATCGCGGCTTAGAGTCCCACTCGAGCATGGTTGTATTTGTGTCCGTCATTTTCAACCTCTACATCAAAATGTCATCTTCACAGACCAAAACGTTAAATCCAATAGTGCTAATTACCTAGATGTTGATGCGACCTTAAATAATTAAAAAAGTAGTACATTTGATTGTTGTTTTTTCACCAGATATGTGAAGAAAGTGCAGTTATTGGAGTTAGTGTGAATGCAAATCTTTATGCAAATCCCGGGCAACGTCGTTGTACGCCAATAAAATGGATGACTTCGTATATAAATATGTCGAGTATCTGAAGCGTATCGACCAGTGTCGGGCTTTTGAAGCAAAGGAATATATTAGATTAATATATAATGATTTCGTCATTGCAGTGGCTGCACTTCAAAGAAATGTAGGAGTTGCATTTGTCTCCGAAGTGTTACTTGAACAAAATCAACTGGGAGAGATTAAGAATTTTTTTTTTTAATTCTTTCCTTTTTAAATATTTGTATGCTAATCATATCCGTTCTGAGTATTTTAACTTAAACGATACATTCTTTACAGCGGTTAATTTTCTAAATTTTCAAATTAAACATTTCTATTACGAAATCCATTTTATGATGAAAAAGATATGAAACGCAATTGAAATTGAAGCATAAAACGTTTTCTTATAAATTTGTCCCTTTGCACTAACGCATTTTTTTCGTTTTTGTTGTATTTATCGTACAACTGAATTATTGTCTGCAATTTATAAAAATTTAAGGTGTTCAAAGTGAAGGTTCATGACATTTCATCAAATTTCCATAGAGCCAATGTTAAAATAATTATTTCCTTTGCTTCTAGACACTAAATGTAGCTATTTACCCCCCCCCCATGTCACTATACATAGTTTTTTACAACAACGGAGAAATTATTTTCTGAAAAAAATTGGTCTAATATTCGTTATGCAGGTTGGATAATGGCGTCATTTATCCAGGCTAGTCAAGTGATATTGTGATTGTTTGGGCCAATTAAAGAGACAAATGCGATTGTATTTATACAATTAAAAGATTAAAAGACTCTGAAACATTAAAGACAATCAATAAAACACGAAGATTCTCAGCTAATGAGAGATTAATTTTCCTTACACGAAAATATAGCACGATGTTTCGTGGTGGCTCCCTATATGCAAATGTTTCATTAATGTACAGTAGATTTATGATCTATGTTTTGAAAGTGGGCGTACAAAATCAAAATTAGTAAACAAAGTTGTTTTAGTGAAAAAAGAAATGAAACGTACAGAATCATGATAAAAAAATTGAGAAGAATGCCACTTACATTGCACATTTTGTATCTTTAGTAATACGCCGCGTCAGGAAAGTGTCTAGGCAGTGGCACCTTGGTGCTTGCGACACAAATTATGTTGGTAGCAGCGTGTAACAAAAGAAAACGTGAATACCGCACTCACCACAAGCATAACAGATGCTGCAAGTGGTGTCCACTTTAGTGGTTTCCAAGTAATTTTGTTGTTAACAGCATAAATGCAATACTTAATAGGTCCTGACAGTGGGGAGAGGTTTCCCTGAAGCAGTGTAGTACCTTGATAAAACGTTAACAGAAGCATGATATAAAAGTGAAACTCGTAAGAAATGTATAATATCATGAGTGGTACGTTGCCGCAGACGACATTTTTTCCAGTTGCCCTGGAGAAACGGAAATTTATCCAACTTTCGGGAATACAATACATTTTTAGCTGCAGCCGATTGGGCTTTTGCAGTTAGGGAGGGATTTTTATTTAATGAGGCTAACTAAAACTATTTTATAACTATATGCATTCCCATGTTGGTGTTTGTTATTTATTAATCTGTTGATGTCTTGAATTTAGACGACATCATCAAGAAGGACGGCGTGAAGGGGTCGCCGCTGCGGCGCGGCGGGCGCGGCGCCATGCGGGGCATGCGGGGGCGCGCGCGCGGCGCCCGCTCGGGCTCTTTCCAGCAGCTGGCGCTGCGCCTGGCGGCCTGCTCGGGCCGCGGGCGCGGGCGCGGGCGCGGCGGCCGCGGCAGGGGCAGCGGCAGGGCTCCCCGGCCGGCCGACAGCAGAACAGCGCCCTCGGTGAGTCTCCTCCTCTCCCTCCCTCTCTTACTCACATTCTCTCGTTTTCTCTTTCTCCCGTTTTCTCTCTTTTTCACTCCCGCCTGTAGCGCCAATGATAATGAATGTGGGGGATTGCTATAACCATGCTGCAGTTTATAAAGAGACTTGGCTTTTCCCCACTGTGATAAATAGAAGGTAGAATTAGCATGAGGGGCGAAATTATAAATCATGAGAAATGAATGAGAATTAAATATTTTTATTTACATTTTTGTTTGTAATTGTATGTTTGACCATCTGCTACAGGCTTGTATAATGTAATTGAAATACCTAAATAAGGGGGCGGCGAAATCATCCATCGCCCGGTCGGGTGTCACCCACGCGACGCCACTTTAAAGGGAAAGTCGAAAATGGTTACTTTTTGCCAATGAACATTTAGTGGAAAATTACATGTAATTGAAAACACGTGCATCCCTCCGATCGTTGGGCAACCCCATAGCGCAAACGTTCGACAGGTACAGGAATTTTTTGAGATACCTACCATTGTACCCATTGTACCATGTGTGAGATGCCTCACAATGAGGAAAATCAGCGGTATGTGTAACTCCGTTGTATGAAATTTCACTCTACATATTCGTAAGCAACAAGTGATCATCTTCGCTCTCCACGTGCTCTAGACGTTTGTCACATTTTACTCTGAGAGTCTTAAATAAGTAATACAACACTTAAAAATCATACTTTCTCACAGACTGCTGAATTACTCTAGAATTCTCCTACTGCTGAAACGCTGCATCTGATATTGTTCATATTAATAATAGATTGGAATGTTGCTATTCGTCGTAAAATACATATTTTTGGGTGGCTGATTCAAAATAGTTGTAAGTGCAAAACGTAATGGGACCTTATGAACGAAATTGGTTGTGTTGGAAAACAACTTGCCATATCCATAGTGTGTGTAGCTACTAGGAAAGTGCAGCACGAACCAAGAAAGCATTAGAAGGTAAGTGAGGGTCGGATCAAGAAATATTTTCTTGAGGGGGGGGGGGGGATTCATTCGAACAAGTCAATGAATATTTTTATTAATTAACTTGACTTTAAAAAAAAATGTTTGTACATATTCATAATGTGAATGTTCTTTTGGATGGGATATATAGTAAGTATTGTAATTATTTGAATAAAGTGAGAAAAAAAAAAAATAAAAGAAATATGTTGTCTGTGGCGTTCCCAATCCGCCACTGGGCTCAGCGATGGGAGCGGAGGCCGTGGTTGAGGATCTGGTGTACGCAGGTCGCGGGCGCGGACGCGGCGCGCGCGGGGCTGGTGGTGGCTTCCGCAGCGGCGGGCGGCGGCCAGCAGCAGCATGCAGCAGCAACGGTGGGCGCGCAGTCGGAGCCGCAGCGGAGGCCCGACCAGCAGCAGCAGCAGCGGGCGCGCAGCCGCAGCCGCGGGCGCAGCCTGGCGGCGGGCGGGGCGCGCGGGCGCTCGCGCAGTCGCCGGGGGTGGGGGGTTGGGCAGCAACCGCTCGCGCTCGCGCAGCCGCTCCCTCGCCCGCCGCCGCCGTCGCCGCGCGCGTCGGCGCTCGCGCAGCCGCGGCCGCGCTCGCAGAGCCGCGGGCGGTCGCGCTCGGCCGTCAAGCCGCCCGCCCGCCGCCGCCGCCCTCCAGGGCCGCCCGCGCTCCCGCAGCCGCAGCGCCGTGCGCGGCGCGCGCTCCCTCACGCCCTCGGCCAGGGTAAGTCTCGCCTCGCCACTCGCCTGGCGCCTACTTTTATTGTCTTTGAAGGCAACCTTTCCTTGGTAGTTACTGAAAGTGGGGAGTATTCCTATTCTCCCATGCCAGCTCCAATATCGAATTCTCTGCCTTCAGTGCACCTGTGTTACGACCTTCGGCTGGTTATTTAACCTTCTAGTGGTAGAGGTCCTGCTTGCTTGTTGGATGAAAGACCTGTCTTTGTTTTAGTTAATTATTGATGGAGTTGTTTTCATTTTTACAGACAATTGATATTCAGAAAGCGATTATAGTCGTAGTATGATTCCTTTTATTGCACAAATGCTCGTACCATAGTCTCTGGCTGGTATTGAAATAGTACGTACATACAGTTTTCATTGAAAATGTTCCTTGATAGCTTTAGCGTTTTATTTCATGCATGGGAATTAAACGAGTTGTCTTTCATTTTGATTTCGTGGTGCCAAATATTCGATATTCATCCGTGAAGCATAGTTACAATTTTACGTGTGTGTGTTTTTTTCTCTTTAATATCCTTCTCGTTTGTTTATGAAACTACCTAATATAAATTTGGCAAATAAAAAAAATCACCAGTTTAGATTGAAGAAATCACTTGTTTTAAATTTCAGATATAAAATTATTCCATTATCCATTAATTGAGCTGTAGTCAGTCAGCTGTAATGAGCTGTAGTTTTCGTGAGCACCATCCTGTCAAATGTACAAAAAATAGTAGTCTCCTTTGTTTTTATTTGCACTACAACATTCTTTGGCATACTACTATCCCGTCTAGTGGGTTAGAACATTTTCTCACGAGGATTTCTCTTACACTGATTTATTATTTTGTTGGATATTCCGCATGCCTTTCGGGTACTGGGTCCTAAATACCAAACAATCTTGCACTTGAACGTAATGTGTAACGCTGATTCCAGATTTTAAATTATTCATGTGCAGTCAGGTGTCTTCTTTGATAGTTGTAATTTGTGCTCTGAAAATAGCTGTATCCTTTATCAATGATTTCCTTCCTTCAATATCATTTACTTCGCTGTTTCCTGAATATTACATGTTATGTAAGAACTCTCCCTATTAATGCGAAGCCAAAAGCAGTGATTGAGATAATGAATTCACCTGTGTAAGTACACTTACAGGAACGTCTCGAAGTGTTTTGTGTGTTAACTATCATTAATTACATTAGATAAAAAATGGATTTTAAACAGAAAATCTTAAACAAAACAAACCAAAAGAAAAAATAGTACTATATCATTTCAACTTATTAAGGAATAAGTAGTAATGCAAATTCCAACGCAAGGTATTGGAGGTTTCCTTACTAGACGAGGGAGTTCCTGGTCGAAGCCGATTGATCTAGCCTAGGAATTCCGACGTGTCAAGTTAAGTCACTTTTGCCGTGTGATGTACCGTTCTTTATTCGAAACCTGAATCTTATGGCAATTTGCCCCTGTGATATACAAATTTAATTGACACTCGTGAGAATACTGCGAATTTTTCCGTTTGGAGATTGGTACGCCAAGTCTGCAATACGTTTAGATAGCGAATATTTTGTATATGATCTTGTCGAAAAAGAAATTAAAGGGCATGTTGTACAAAATTTAAGAATTGCGGAGATAAAAAAACTGAGTTAGTTACTGTAAAAAGAGATATTAGAATGCAATTAAAATTATATTATTTGTTTTGAAACATCTCGACTGAAGAACAATGAAAACACTTTAAAGGTTTTGGCATCATAATGTAACATTGTATGTACATTAACATGTAGCTGTGTTTCAACATTTGGGTATGTCGCTACGAATGTCCCTTCTATTTATTTATTTTTTATTAAAAAAATGATCGGTCCATGTTATTGTGACGATCCTTGCTGTTTTGTTTGGAGTAGAAGTACGCACAGTATTTGTGAATTAATTTAGGTGTTGATTCCCAGTATGTTTTTAATATTGGGTTCTTATAAAAGAATTTGGTGTGGTTAACTTTGCTACCGAAGAATGTCTTTTAATTTGAGAAACACTTTAATGCAGAGTTAGAAAAGTTGCCGGTTTTATTATTCCCCTTTCTGGAACTTTACTAATCACAGTATTATTTTATGACTTAAAACACATAGGATTTACCTCGAATTATATGCATGTTTTAGCTGTAAGTTGTATTTTTTTTCTTTGGGGGGTGATTACAAGAATGGTATCTATGTGTTTGAGTATGTTCGATGCATGTTTATTTACATATACACGTACTTTAATCTTTATATTTTATTCGTAAAGGGAGTAAGAATGCTGGAGCCAGATATTAGTGTATTTCCTTTTTCTTTTTTATCTTTCGTACGCGAGAGTGTACAGTGTTGTAATGTCTCGTAGCTAGCTGGAGTTGTAGAAGCAGCACTAGAAAGCAGTGCAGCAGTGGCGTAGTAGCAGTAGCAGCGCCGTTGGTATAGAGAGAGATGATATTTTTTATAAGAAGGGTCCGCTTTGACAGCTTCTGGTGACTACATAACTGCTTGTTACGACCATGCTCTCAACTCGCCAATGCGTTCGATTAGTTGGCCTATCAGTAAATTATTTTCATCAATCATCTCTTGCAATGCCATCTACAGGGCATTCATTTGTTTCCCGAGCTGTCAGACCGGTCCTTTCTTAGGGTAACTCCTCTGAGATTGTAGAGGGAGCAATAGAGTAGCAGTAGCGGGAGTAGACGAGGGGAAGTAGCGGGTGGCGGAACGAGCGGAGCGGCTGTTGCAGGGGCGCGGGCAGCGAGCGCCGCCGCGCCTAGTGCTGTTCCGGGCGGCGCCGGGCGGGGGCGTGGCCGGGGCGGGCGCGCCCTGGCCGCAGTCCCACCAGCGGCTGGTGCGCAGCCGCGCTGCGCCGCGCCGCGCGTTTTCTCAACCAGCGCGCCGCCAGGCCACGCGCTCGGGGTGAGCTGCCTCGCGCGATCTCGCTTTCTCCTTGGTCTTGGCCTTCTCCTTGGTCGGTGGTTCTAAAGAACTCCCTGCGTGTCTCTTGACACTAGAGCATGAGTGACTGCTGAAATGGGATTTACTTATTCGGATTTTATTTTCAAATGCTTGTGTTTATACTAATCGATTTTTAATAATTTGGCAGAGTTGTTTTGTTTTTATTGTTAAATCGTTATTTTTTAGTAATAATTTTGGGGTTGGAAATGTTTAATTTGGGTCTGGAAATAAAATAAATCTATTTCTGCATGTGCTTCCCTTCCTATCTTCCAGGTGATTAACATTTGTTTATAACTCAAATGACAAGATCTTTTGTTATTTAGATTCATTTATTTCAAATTACACTTTTATCAGCTCTATTCATCCAAAGTATCATCTAAAATAATATTTCATTCAGATTTTCCCTTAAATTACAAAAACAACGTAGTATTACACACACACAAGGAATGAACAACCTTACATGACAATATCTTGATAAAAAGTGTAAAAAGTTGTAATTAGTGGAAGGGCGTTAATGATGGCCGTGATGATGGAGCATTATTGGTGATGGGTACTTGTGATTTTATCTAAAAAGAATATTATCTTTGATGACAGTCAATAGAGAGAATTCTTGTCGTGAGTGTTGGCAGTTGATAATTACAACTAACAACTATTCATTTTATATTAAATATTTCCGTTTATACAAATATTGTAATTAATTAAATAGAAAATTCAATTAACTGGAATTTTTGTTCGTATTTGTGTGTTTAAAACTATTTATACAACATCCAACTAAATGGTTAGAAGCAGGTATTATATATTAATGTTCCATTTCCTTTTCATTGATTTCATTATTATGTTCATCTCATTCTTTGTTCTTGCTAAGAAAAAAGTGAAAAAACTATCCATTACAATTGTGTTCATTTTATATGCAAAAAATGTAAAAGCAAATTTGTGGTTAAAATAGAATTTACACTTTTTTAATTGAAAATTGATGGAAAATATTTATTTTTGTATTGTAAATTTTTATGTTAATCTTCTTTTAATTTATTATGAATTAAATTGTTGCATGAAATTGTTAACACCAATATAGGATGTCTTTTGCTTTCATTTTGTGAAAGTGCATCACTTTCTATTGTTTTTTAAATTGTAACTTAACCTAATTTGTTAAATAATTCGCATGTTTGCTGTAATGTGAAATAATTGCTTTTTCTAATTATTTTCTGTTTTAAAACTGCTTGTTGTTATTTTTTCTCTATTGCTTTTAGTGTTTGCTTTCTGATTTATCTGGAGAGGTAGCGATATATAGTATGCAAATGTAGTAGGTTCTTTGAATTTTACTTGATATTCCATGCAGGATGTTTTCATAAAATAAAATTTTTGTTAATATTTTCGAACTTAAAAAATAGTATGATTTAGTTTGAGTTATTTTTGCCACAGCGTCAGTAATATATCTATCTATCTATCTATCTATCTATGCATCTTTTTTTATACACACACACACACACACATTAGAATCCTTTGATGAAATTGAGAAATATTTATGTTAATTTTCATCTGTCCACAGGTAGGAAGATTGACCAACGATTGGAAAATGGCTGGCACTTTCCGTTCAGACTATATTGTTCGGCAACGTAATTATCACCCTAACAATACTGCAGACATGACTAATGATATATTTTTGTAAGTATTCATTAACATTATGCATTTTTATATTGATATTTTTATATAATAATTCTTAATGTGTTTTGTCCTAGCAATAGTAAATAAACTTTGTGATTGGATTAATTTCTGTGTAAATAATAAATTCTCTAATTACTAATTAAAAAGATGTATATACAAATATTATTGCATGGAGTTATTTAATATATTTTATTGCATTTTAAAAATGTCAAATAATTAATTTATAGGAATGTGGAATACTGAATTTTCTATAAAAAGTGTGTATCTGAGTCATTGCAGATCACACTGATTTCCTGAAATTATGAATTCCTTTCAATTGAATTTTGATGACTAATTTGTACATACCACTCAAGTACAACTTTTAAATTCTGCTTCAACGAAAATTTATATATATATATATATATATATATATATGATATATTGTGACGTACCTGGGAAGCCCGATACTTTCAACGACAAATAAATTTATGCAAGGGACAGGTACATTTTCGTGAATGGGTCTCCAGGAATTTGGCGCAGCATAGGGAAGATAATAGTTATAGATTCTTTTTGCAACATTAATTATTTTAAATGATCAGAAAACACACCTTTACAAATAGGTTTCTACAAATCGCAATGCGCAGGCTTGGAAACAAGGCACGCCCACGCGATACCTTAGTTTTTCCAAAACTACCTGCTTCTCTGGAGGCGACCGGCGTCGTGGCAACGGCGGCGGTGCTTCGGCTCGCCCCGAAGTCTGCCGGAATTCAGCCCCTCCCTCGGCGACCAACTTCTCTGCCAAACGTAACGGCCGATGAATTCGCCGGGGCTCCACCCAGCCGGTGTGAACAATGTCTCACGGGTATTGGAACGGCAACGACGCGCGATTTGATGTCGACGGCTGTACTTTCTTTTCAGCGACCATTCGTCAACTTTGCGCGAGATGTCGTACAGTACGTTATATTAACAGCTAAACCAGGGCGGGATTATGACTACGAGCCCACCGAGCCACTCGATTTTCCTGTCTTATTGGTTTTTTATCAGTTCTGGTGCGCAATTCTACTTCACTAATCATCTGATTGTATCCTTATACCCCAAACCCTGGTTCCACACTCAGCGGCACAACTCAGTCCGAACTGCACCTTAACAACGACAATAAATCTCTTGACGCAAGCACGCCCCGTCCGTTCTTCACTCAAGGCCTCTCCGCGCACCGCTCAACGCGTCGCTGCCTCGCCGTAATCCCCCCCGCTGTACACGTTTGGTGGTGGCGGCGGCGGCGGTACTGTGCTGATGCAACTCCAGTACTTTATTTTAATTTTATAATTGGTGATCAATGTACTATGGTTCCTAATACAGACACGTTGCTCGTTTCAATAATATATATTATAATATAATTATATATATATATATTAATATATATATAATATATAATATATAACGCACGCTCCCTTGCTCTCTTTCCTCTCGCTCTCCTCTCCTCTCGCTCTCTCCTTCTTCCCGTCTCCTCGCCTCTGCTCTCCTCCTCCTCTCCTCTCCTCCTCTCTCTCTTCCGCTCTCTCCTCTTCTCTGCTCTCTCCTCCTCTCTCTGCTCCTCTCCTCTCTCTCTGGTCTCTCTCCTCTCCTCTGCTCTCTCCTCTCTCTCTGCTCTCTCCTCTCTCTCTGCTCTCTCCTCTCCCTCCTCTCTCCTCTTCCTTCTCTCTCCTCTCTCCTTGCCTCCTGCTCTCTCTCCTTGCTCTCTCCTCCTCTCTCCTCCTCTCTCCGTCTCCTCTCTCCTCTCTCTCTCTTCCTCCCCTCTCTCTCCTCTCCCTCTCTCTCTCTCCTCTCCTCTCTCCCTCTCCCTCTCCCCTCCTCTCTCCTCTCCTCCTCTCCTTCTCCTCCTCTCTCCCTCTCTATTCCGGCTCTCCTCTGCTCTCTCCTCTCCTAATCGTCTCCTTTCCTCTCTCTCTCTCCCTTCTCTTTCCTCTCGCCTCTCCTCTATTATGTCAGTAATATAGATGAGTTTGTCAGTAACATGTTTCGAATCGCAATTTAACTTCAAAAATATGAAGGATTTGTTTAAAAAAGCTAATCTAAGCATTCAGGTCAAATGCACCCCGCAACACTTTGTCAGTGTTGTTGAAATATATAACTCCAAAAGGACCCGTTCTAAGGGCTTAAAAACTTGGAATCTTGAGGGCAAAGGTCTCAAAGAATTCTTCCTTACTTCGTAATCCTCCGAATTAGATCTTCTTGGCCGTTCTATTGCATTTTTGCTGGTTCGGCGCTTTTCGATTCTACCCCACCTGTTCAGAGACCATTTATAATTTCATATACAGTTGCAGAATATGCAACTGTATGTGAAATATAACTAATTACTTTATATTCTTAGCAAATGAATTGCACGGTTCTACATCTCTGTTCCGGGATAAAGTTAAATAATAGTTTATGTTGACAAGGGAGTATTGTTTTTAAAGTATTGGTCCGCTCGTGTAATTGAAAACTAATAAGACTACCTACTGTAATACACATTATGTTTTACAACCAAAATATTAACTGCCACAATCAGGACGGCACATTAAAAAACCCAAAAAGTATAATGTATTTCGTATTTTACCCCCCCCCCTAAATGTTCAAAGATGCGCGACGCCACTACTATCCACCCGACACGCTCTTCTGCTGGTAGAGTGCACTCAAGAATTAGTATTGTTATTTCCTTTTCGAAGGCTTATACACGGAAGAGCCCAAAAAAATGGTACAGCCATGCGTATTGAAATAAAGAGATCTGGAACCAATCAGAACACGGCGCTCTTGTCGGCAACGATTATACAATAAGACAACCAAAGTCTGGCACAGTTGTTAGATCTGTTACTGCTGCTACAAAGGCAGGTTATCATGATTTAAGCTAGTTTGAACTGGGAATGCGAGATCGATATCGATGTTTCTATAAAATATCTATTTATTGAACATCGATATTTTGGGTTCGATGTTTTTACGTTTTCAATATTTTGTGGATGTAAGATGCCCACAATAACTGATAGTAGTGTGTGTATGTGCGTGGGCGCGGGCGCGTGCGTGTGCGTGTATATACCACACACACACACGATCCAAACGAATGCGGCTTGTTCTATTTTCATCGAACAGACTATCATCCCTTGCTCAAGATGATCCTGATTGCCTAGTATTTCCTTCGTCTTTTCTGTATTTTGCACCCAGAGAGACATGTCTTTGTTTTCAGTTTAATTTTAATTATAAATTAATAAGCACGGCATTTGATAAATTAAATTTTATTGAACACGAATTTAATGTTATATCTTACAACTTTAAAACATCGATGGTTTTGGTGTGATATATTATTAATATCAATGCTTTGATTTTGAACATCTCTATTTTCTTGTCGATGTCGCATCATTAGTTTTGAACGTGGTGTTACAGTCGGCTCAAGAGAGATGGGGCATCTCCGAGGTCGCAATGGAATTTGGATTTTCCCGATCGACTATTTCTCGAGTGTACTGTGAATATCGAGAATCCGGTAAAACATGAAACCTCCGGCATATCGGCGGCTGCAAAATGATCGTGCAAGAACGGGACCGACGATGACTAGCAGAATCATTACACGTAACTAAAGTGCAACCCTTCCGCAAATTGCTGCAGATTTCAATGCTGGGTCATCAAGTGTCAGCGTTCGAACCATTCAACGATACATTATCGACATGGGATTTCGGAGCCACTCGTGTATCCTTGGACACAAAGCTTTACGCCTCGCCTAGACCCACCAGCACCGACATTGGAGTGTTGATGACTAGAAACATGGTGCGTGATCTGACGAGTCTCGTTTCACATTGTTTGGAGCAGATGGACGTGTATGAATACGGCGATATCGTCATGAATCCATGGACCCTGCATGTTAAAGCTGCTGGGGGCTCTGTGGTGGTATGGAGCGTGTGCAGTTGGAGTGATATGGGGCCCCTGATACTTCTAGATACGATTCGGACTGGTGACACGTACGTAAGCATCCTGTCTGATTACCTGGTCCCATTCATTTCCATTGTGCATTCTGACGGACTTGAGCAATCCCAGCAGGACAATGCGACAGCCCACACGTCCAGAATTGCTTCAAAGTGGCCCCAGGAACACTCTTCTGAATTTAATCACTTCCACTGGACACCAAAATCTCCAGCCATGAACATTATTGAGCATATCTGGGATGCCTTGCAACGTGCGGTTCGGAAGAGATCTACACCCCTCGTACTCTTTCAAGCTTTTGGACGTCCTACAGTATTCATAGTGGCAATTACCTCCAGCACTACTTCAGACATTAGTCGTGTCCATACCACGTAGTATTGCGGCACTTCTGCGTGCTCACGGGGGCAATACACGATGTTAGATAGGTGTATCAGTTTTTTTGGCTCTTCAGTGTGCAACCCAGTACACATATTTTTAAATGTTTATTGTAATTTAAATTATCACTATATTTCTCTCGTTCTTTAAATAATCGCTTAGGTACATTATTTCTCAATGGAGGTAATATATTTGCCTGTTACGTAGTATAGAGAAAGTATGGCATTGCTCCAGCGATTTTCGACAAAAAATAAAACCCATTTTTCTCTCGTGTTCCAACTGAGGTTTTGTAAAGGAGTCTCATTAAAAATATAATTTCTCTGGCTCTTGCTAAATATAAGTGTGGTGAAGGGTCAGCCACATTTTGACGTATATTGAAGAATTAATATACGGCCCTCGCACCGGTTATAAGGCGATGGAAGATCCAATGTAAAGAATGAATTGATTGTTATGCTTGCAAGTGAACCTCCTCAACCGCCTTTCTACGAGGTCTGGAGCTTCACAATCTGCCCAAATAAGCTCGTAGTTTTTTCATTCTTGCGTATAGACCCTAATAAAAAGACATGATATAGGCTGTGGTTGTTTCCATTGTGGTATGACTACGGTTTGATTAAACGAGTTGGAGGCGATGGCAGTGATTGTTGCCAACTTACGTACATTATTATATACACGTATTCCCGAAACATGAAAGTTACCACTTGAAATGACAAAATCACTCACAATGTACGTGTGAAAGCAAACTAATAGTAAACAAACTGTAGTCTAAGGGGGCATAACCGAGCGAAGTGGCTCAGGGCATAGCGCTCTGACTTAGCATTCGTGAGGCCCGGTTTCAATCTCCGTGCCGCCCCTCCTAACCAGGGTTTTCGTGGTTTCCCTCGGTCATTCAGACGAATGCTGGGATGGTTCTTGCAGCGTCAATTGCTGCGGAAACGAGTCCTTGAAGGTTGTGCGTGTGAATAAATCACGGGAGGTGGCGGTGTTCTTCCTGTCGGCTAGCGGGCTTTTCCTCAATAGGGTATCTCCTACCAAGGAGGCACCGCCCCAGCCGGAACAAGCTCTATGCGTCCCACCTGTGAAGTGGTGTAGTACATGTGAGTGTAGAGGGGAGAGGACAGGACAAGAACTGGTAGGAACTATCGTGCGCTGTCCGTGGCCCGTTTATCAGGGGACTACTCCAGCATTCGCCTATATTTATGGAACAATTCACGGAAAATTACGTTCAGAGCAGCCCGTCTCGAGAATACTCCCTTACACATAATTTATTATTACATTATTTATTTGTACTTTTTTCGATTTTATTAGGGCCTAAATCCTCTCCTTCCAAAATTGATTTTTCACTTGTAACAATTTTCTTTACTTTGAAACAAAATTTAATGTTTCTGAAATGATAGCTATGACTTTGCTATTCTTTTCTTTTGATGTAGTGGAGCTGGTGACAGTGGGGGTAACCAGCTGCTGGTGAACATCCAGAATGAATATGCAATGCATCCTGCCCCGGGAGCGAGGAGGACATGGCCACGAAGTAGAGGTACACGCTCATCTGCATTGAACTTTCTCATTCATAGTTTGTATTGTCATAATGATGAAATTTGCTCATATTCATAACACCAAAACAAAACTGTTCATTAATTTTTTCAATGATTGCACTGTCTCATAAAGTATTTAAAGTTTCACTTATCTGTTCTAATGTGACATGTTAATAATCTTTGTTTTTTAATAATCTAGCAGAATTATTCTCTTTCAACTAGAATAGGTCAACCTTTGAGTGAACTTTTAGAAACTGTTCATTGTATTGCAATATTAAATGCAGGACGCGATTTACCTAAAAGCAGAATAACCAGTTGCTCAAGGGCCCCCCATCCATCAGAACCCTGGGCCTGGAAAAAAATGCATAAAATGTTTGTATCTGTAAAATAATTGTCGAGCAAATAATCTATGCTAAAAGGTTGTATTAAAAAAATATATATTTAAAAGTATTGGACAGAAAGTAATTTTATTATAATTAATTTTATTTTATAATTCTGGAGGAATTTGTTTCTAGAAGGGGATCTATGATTTTCTGCTTGTGTGTCAATCAGTATCTAAATCTGGCTCATTATATGTATGTAGTGCCACCTAGTAGCCACTGTATGTAGTTCCTCCTAAATTTTTATTTTATCCAAAAATGTAATTCTTGAAAACGTAAGGAATGAACGTGTGTGTGAAGAATATTCAAAATTATTATCAGTATCCTCTAAATATTTGACAAAATGGAGAATAATTATCTGTACTTCATTTTAAACATTTTGTTTTTAAGGTATCATTGGAAATTAATTCTCAAAAAAAAAAATGTACATGTTTATTTCTGATTTTGTATAAAAAGAGCTTAATTTTACTACTATTTTCCCAGGTCTACGTAGAAACCAGTTTCTGGGTATTTCAAACCGCCGGCCTCAGGTTGACCTTGCAGCTGGTGGTGATGCTACTGCTTCAGCAGCCGAGTCCCTCAATTCTGTGCGACAGACTGTAGCTCTCCATGGAAGTACTAGAAATACTGCACATAATGGTCTGCCCAGGAAAATGACAGAGAGCCCTGCTCAGTTAGTGCCCACCTTGGTGGTCGAGCAAAATGTTGTTGAAAATATGGGGCAACCATCTGCCAGCACAACTCGCATGACATTGAGTGAACGTTTTTCCAAACGGCATACAACTTCTGATGACTCTGAAGCTTTATATGCCCAAGGTGATAACTGAGTAAAATTGCAGAAGGGGTTAAAATTAGGATTGGATATTAAGACCTTATTCAGTGAAAGATATAGTGCAGACTGTGTGTGTTTCAAATACATAATTTGCTACTAAGTGGATTTGTCATGTGTTTGTTAAATGACTGACGATGTGCAGTTGTGTTCTTGTAGATGTGTCTGAGAGCAGGAAGTTAATCTTCCGGTTAGTTGCAGCTGAATAATTAATGAATGACCTGTTTATAAAGGTAGAAGTAATTTGAACTTCCCAATAGAAGTTGCTGTATCTGAAAAGTAATTTATTTATAACATTATTTAAGAAATACTCATTATTATTTTGAGTAACTTATGAAACTAATTTGTATGTTCTGTATAGTAGTTTTGTATCATTGGAGAAAGTAAAGTTAATATTTATTTTAAAAAAGACAAATGTACTATTTGGATATGTATGAAATTATCAGATTTTTATCATATTTTATTTCTCCAGTAAATTCTGTAAAATTATATATGATTAAAGAATTGTATTAAATGTACAATTTTCTTGGATTTATTCTCAGGAATTTATTGACTAATTGAGAATAATAAATTAGAGCACTAGACACCAACTTAACCTGCATTTTGTTTCTGATTTTACTTTTTTTCAACCCATTTTGTAGGGTAGTTTTATTTACATTTTGTACATTTTATTTCTTTTTATGTATAGACTATACATTTGTATGAACTTCGTTTTCAGTCTTGCATTATAAAAGGAGTGATTTTGAGATTGTTGTGTTGATGCTATGAAATTCTAATTACAGAGCTTTTTCTACAATATTGTTTCACATTGACAAGTGTTTTTATTCTTATTAAAATGTGTGATTTTTAACCAGTATTGTCTATTTTCTTGTTTTGTTTCCTCCCTTTTCTGCCCTTATCCTAACAGAACAAGTTTGGTTATATATATTTCAATTGTCTATAATTCATAATGCAAGGTATTGAAAGCATTGTTGCGCCAGATAAGATCATGAAAACGAGTTAAATTTTAAACTTAGTATATTCTTTAAAAAAAAAGTCATTAAAATTAATGTTCGTGAATGTATTTGTTTGAAAAAATTCCATATACTAATCAGCGAGTGTACTATTAGTATCACTGTTTCATAAATAATGATTTTGGTAAATTAAAACCATGTGTTTCTGAATCATTATTGAATAATCAAATATATCACTATCTAATAATTTTTATTCTGTGAAAAGAAATCATTCTAACAACGAATTTCCACGTCTCCCCGAATTGTCAGGACGTTGACCGAAAACTTAAAGTGTATGTCTGGATTCGTTTGATTGCGTGACTCGGGCATGACTTCTCGCGTCGGAATTTGATCTTTGATCGCATTAATTTATCGGCGCGTGGGTCCTTATACTGCGCGCCATGTGTTCCTTGCCAGTCGCGACTAGCGAGTAGTCGTCGGAACGTTGTCGTTAGGATCAAAGGTGAAGCGCTGCATAAAGTCTGCATGCCGATAAATATAAATTGTGCCCGTTTATAATTGCGCACGTTGACTGAAATGTCAGTTGAATTTTAATGGTGCATGGTTTCTGTGTCCGTATGACCTTCAGCTCAAACTTGTGTAACGTAGTACCTGAACTTAGACGAAAAAGATGGCAACAATGCTGTACCGGAGTCTTGTTCTAGCAGAGACGTTTGCACGAAAAAACGGGCCAAAGGTATGTTTCGTTTAGAAATAAATTTTCATTCGGTAAACTAAAATTGTAAACACGAAATTAGTAAATCAACAGTTGGGATTGATGAAGAAATTGTTTAAAGAATGTATGTATGATGGGTGGACTGCCCGAAGTAAAATTGTAGGCCGAATGCCAAATAATTTAACAATTTATATATAAATAACTTGATCGTGGAATTTATTTATTAAATCTGCACCGAAAAAAGTGTTTGAGAATGTACTTATTACTTAGTTAAATTGAAAATATTAGCATCGCATCATTTTGTGAAGAATTACTGTTGTCTTAGGGGCCTTTAATATGTAATATTTTAACTAAGTAATATTTAATTTTTCTTAGCTTTTAGTAGCTTCAATCCCCACGAAATGGCAACAGCCACAACGAAATTTAAATGTTCACGAGCACATCAGCTTCTCTCTCCTGAAAGAGGCGGGCGTACCAGTGCCCAACTTCGGTGTGGCTAAGAACCCAAAAGAAGCCGCCGATATAGCAAAATCTTTAAATGTTAAAGATATTGTATTGAAGGCCCAAGTGTTAGCTGGTGGCCGTGGTAAGGGAGCCTTCAAGAATGGATTGAAAGGTGGTGTTAGAATGGTATACACGTAAGTAACTACAGTTTTTGGAGGTGAGTTTTTAAAAGTATATTTCGAAAGTTTCATAGGGATAATTTTTCGTTATTAGGCCAGAAGAGGCAAGTGATATCGCCGGTAAAATGATTGGTGATTACTTGATCACTAAACAAACTGGAGAAAAAGGTCGAATTTGTAATGCTGTCATGGTCACTGAAAGAAAATTTCCCCGGAAAGAATATTACTTTGCAATTATGATGGAACGTGCCTTTCAAGTAAGTATAATGAAAATATTTTTGAATTGAGGGGTCTGCCAGTTGATTCCAAAGAACAGTTCTTGTTGACTAGATTAGAGCAATCTTCTCCAATTGAAACCTATTAACTGTAAGTGGAAACAGCCTCTGTTTATAGCCTGATTTAAGAGTTATTTCAGCTCTCCCGTGCCTGAAGGCTCTCTAATACTTTTCTGCAAATTTCAATCATGTCTAATTTTAAAATGCTAAATTGCTTATAAATGAATTACAGGGTCCTGTTCTGATTGCTTCTGCACAAGGTGGTGTGAATATTGAAGAAGTAGCTGCAGAAAACCCTGAGGCAATTATATATGAACCAATTGACATTACAGAAGGTATGCAATATGTCTATGTCAAAATTGTTGAAATTAGGTAATTCTTAAATATGAATTAATGTATTTCTTGGGCTTCACTAAAAATCCAAACAAATTATTTATTTAATGTGTACAGTGACTATCCCTAAATGCTATTTACTTTTTAAATTAATACCCAAAAAATATTAGTAGATCTCCCCACAGTAGATCCCAAACATTCTAATTTTGTTAGGGTGTTGTAGAAAAATAGTGTCCCGCAATTGCAAAAATGCTCCTTAACAAAACCATACAAAATTGTTTTCCTAAAAGTAGCTTGCAGGCATTTAATGGCACGTGGCATGGCTTAACGTATCACGTCAGCCATGTTATAAGCAGTTGCCAGTGGCACCGTGGGAATGAGCATTCAGTTGGTACATGCAGATTGAGAGAAGGTTGAATAACCCAGTCAAATATTGGCATTTTCAGTAAAAATCATAACCGTTGTGTTAATTTTGGATTTTTCCCAATTTGCCAGGCATGTAACAAAACAAAAAACACCTTTCATGTGGCCAAAGTCTGCATTCTACATTGGAAATTAGTAATGTAAGTGTGAATCAGTCAGATTTTCAATAAATAGTATCACCAATATTGACGTTCAATAAACTGATGCAATAGATGCAAGTGAGGTGATGCTCTCCTCTTCCCCCTACTCCCCTTCAATGTTTCAAGCTGTGTTTAATTTTCACAATAAAGTAAAATCTTCAGGTGTATATTAATATAAACTATTAAGCACTTGTAAACTCTTGTATTACTTTAAAATGGTTACAAATAATGGAAATGCGTTCTGAAGAATAATATATGAGAGGTTTCTTTTCCAATAGGGAGTAGTGAGGTGATTTAAATACCTGGAAATATCTGTGAAGAATTCTTTGCTTTTACTTATTCATGACGGAACACTCATCACTGACATTCAGAATGAAACTCACGAAATAAGAGTAGTGGTGCTACAAGTGCTCATATATTCTTGCATTATTGTTACTGTTACATAATATTAAAACACAACTTCTAATTCACCAACACTTAGTCACCTCTTTAAAAGTCCTCAAAGAAATGGAGTGCCAGAATTAAAGCAATTCATATTTTTAGTTTTTAAATTTTCAAAGTTTAAATGAAAACTGTTTTTGATCTTTGAATTCAGTATATTGTGCTCTATTCTTATGAAAAATTTAAGGAAAAAGCAAGCAAAAATACTCAGTCAGGTGAGTTTTGAACTCCAACTATCCAGGTGGAAGTTGAGTGTCTGACACAGGACATTGATATAAATGTTTTACAAATGTACAATTGTATTTGTAACATCATTGTGTTACTTGATGTTACTAGGTATTATGCAAAAACGAATGTTATCCAAAAAATTTACTTCAAATGATATGAAGATCTATTATTGAGAAATTATTTTTATTCATAGTCTAGGTTCAATATTGAAGATGTACATATGTTAAGAAACAAATTACCATTACACTCTGGAATTTTGCAATTTTCAAAATTCCAGTGTAATGAACATATGACCTATGTCATATTATTAACAGTTGCGTACAAATGTTGTTTTTAGGTAAAGAGTCGCTGTTTCATCACTTAGAACTTTTATTATTGGAATCCTTTTCTCTTCCTAAGTGATAGTTTTGTCTTTCAACACTTTATCAGATGTATACAAAAAAAGTTTTAGACCTTCGCCATATGTAATAGCTTTGTGAAAATTCGAGTGTTTTCTTCAGCCAGGCCTGCCTATAACCACGTTGAAATCTTATTTCAGTATCTCTCAAGATAGTAATAGCGGAATAGAATATAGAAATATAATTAACAAAAATTGTTGAACTATCAATTTTATTTTATTGAAAATGTTTTATACAACCATTCATTAAACATTTGTTCTTATAGTTTAATTGGTTTGGTTAAAAATGTTAATTTTAATTTTTCAGGTCTATCAAAAGAAAAAGCACAATCTGTTGCAACAAAAGTTGGTCTTGGTGATAACAAAGACACAGCAGAGATGTTGCTTCGTTTATACAATTTATTTCTCAAGAAAGACGCTTTGTTGATTGAAGTGAACCCATATGCTGAAGATTCAAGTGGAAAATGTAAGTTTTTAAATGTTTTATTGTTAAATGTCTTTTTTGGTTTTAAGTTTGTATGATGACTTGCTGTACAATAACGATATTTCTTCTTAGTGACAAACCCTTTTTCTTAGATCTCATGAAATTTATCCCTACAATGGTAATATTGGCTTTGCCCTCTGTCTAAATTTGTCTCATTGGGGTGTCCTAAAATATTTTCAAGTACATCCAATTATTTAATTCTAATTTCATTTGTTACCTAACACTTTCATTTCAACATACAATGATATTTTTATAAAACATTCAGGCCATGTACCTACCACATGTTATAAGTAAAAAAAATGTTCATTACCTGAAAATGAATGAGCAAGGAATTTTATGAAGATCTGCAACTGCCGGCTGGATGTAGGGATTCCCCCATTAGCCTGCATTTTTAAAAAAGAGGACCAATGTTGTTATTTTTACCACTGTTTTGACCTAATCTCTGCCAAACCATCTCTGTGGATGTTGTCCCTTTACCTTAAAACTATAAAAATTGTCACTTAAGTAATCGCTGAATCAACGTTGTAAATGTTGGAAATTTTGTATTATTTTTCAGTTTTTTCTTTTTTTGAAGTGTGTTGAAACATTTTTTTTTTTTTTAAATTTAATTTACGGAATGCACTTCGATAATTGAAATAAATCAATAAAAAATGGTTGTGGCTAAAACTACAATTTAGCAGAGGTACTAATATTTAATTAATTTCTCTGATGTCCCCCACCCCATTCAAATTCTACCTGCCAAAAACATCCACGCTCTTACACTGCCTTCCAAAAGGGCATTCCAGCCTGCCTGGGGGTGCCTGTCGGGAATTACTGAAATGTACTATTATTCCACATTTGCCTGTAACATTTTTTAAGTAAAGATGATATTAAAAAAGTTTTGATATTCATGTACATCATGTATATGATATGCCAATCAGTAGGAAGTGTGTACCCACACTGTTACTTACCATGATGGATTCGATTGCAATTTCACTAGCTTATTCAGCACTATGCTCACTTAAGTAAACCTTCAAGTGCTATGAAGCATTGTGAGTAATGTTTTGAGACAGTTAGTGTTCAAACATGTCGTGACCTCTTCTCTATATGTAGGATAGGATGTAAGGATTACAGCTTAGTTTAATTGATGACACAATGAAGTAATAAATTTAAATTCTGCATTGAAAACAAAATTTTCACAATAATGGTGTCTACCTCTTTAAGTTCAATAGTCAGTATATGTATAATGCATACACTATACATACATATACACACAAATAAACTGAAGAAATACATATATCAAAAATTTCAAATTTATTAAAATTCAACATTGTATTTGAGTGTTCAGCTTGGTGAGTGTCACATGGGGGAAATGTGTGGGTTCATGCAAGCTTCCATTTTGCTCTGACTTACAGGTATCAAAATAAGTGTTAGCAATTCCTATCCTGACACCTTCAAATCTTCACTGAAATAGAATCACTGGAAATGTCATTCATCATTGTTCATCACTGAACAAAATGTTCATTCAGTTGTGATACAAATAATTTTGAGCAAAGTAGAATCAATGTTTAGCATTGATTTAGCAAACATTCTTGAATAAATACACAAGTGTACCAATATAACAAATTTGTGGGTACCTCCTTAATTATTTTGTTACAATGAAGTTGATACTGGAGAACACCTAATGCAGTAAATTCATTATACTCATGAAGGGGAAATGACTTAATATAGCAGAATTCTTTGAAATTGAAAAATAGGCTGAATTTCAATAATTGAATAACTATTATATTTTAACAAAATTAAAGTTGAAAACTTTAGTAAAAAAGAAAAATTTTAAATATTTAAAATTGAAAGAATCTCATTAATGTGAAATGATTTTCCATATTACACATAAGTTAATTGATGAGAACTTGAAAATTATTTGTAAAATTAAAATTTTCAATAAAACAATGTTCATTATAAAAAAATTTCCCTATTGATATTTTGCTTTAGTGAGAATTGTATTTGAGAACTCATTCTCATCGAATTGGAATAGTGAATATGAATAAATTACTTCTGTTTGTGTGAGGAAAGGAAATAAAAACAGTGAATGATATGATTTGCAAAGGTGAAATCATCAGTTCATGGAAACTTTGTACTTCAAGTGATTTTTTTAAGTACCTAAAGGATCTTGGCTTACTGTATTGATGTCGCAACTTTGTCGTTGGATCCCTCATTTTCAATTTTGAAACTATCATTGAATCTGTTTTCAGAAATCAAAATAATGTTTCAAAAAATAATTTTTTTATACCTCTACATCTTAGTAAATAATATGTAATTTGGAGTTTTATTTTCCGTCGTCAGAAGGACCACTCGTAAAACCACTGGGTGTCAAAATTACTAGTAGTAGATGTATTGGAGATACCAAGACCAGTAATTGTGTTTTTATTTAATGTAGTCTTTAATTGCACAGTTTATGCTGTATTTCTTAGTTCTGAAATTTTTTCTAATAGTTCAAATTATCATCATTAAATAAATTTAAAATGACAAATCTGTCTTTCACAGTTTTGTCTAAAGGTATTTTCTGTGAGAGCTGGTATGGCATGTTATTATTGAATACCATTCATTGTTGATCTGTCACATTTGACATATTTTTCTGATTTGTTATAGTTTTTTCCCTGGATTGCAAGATGCGATTTGATGATAACGCTGATTTCCGCCAGAAAGAACTGTTTGATAAACGAGATTGGACACAAGAAGATCCAAAGGAAGTTCAAGCTGCCAGGTTCAATCTTAACTATATTGCACTGGAGGGTAATTTTTTAAATTTTAGTTAATTTTATTTTGTGGCTTTCTGATTCATCACAATAGATTCAATATTACAGTGAACTGTGAACCAGGGATCTGAGAATTATGCTCAAATGTTCCAGTTTTTTGTTATCTTTCGTAGGTGATATTGGCTGTTTAGTAAACGGCGCTGGTCTGGCTATGGCAACTATGGATATTATCAAATTACATGGAGGAGAACCTGCTAATTTCTTAGATGTGGGAGGTGGTGCTACTGCTGCTCAAGTTAAAGAAGCATTCAAAATTATTACAGCTGATCCAAAGGTATGTTGTGGAGTACACATGATTGTTTTAGGTTCTTTTTTATATTAATATGGTTCAGTTATAATTAGTAAAGTAGTCTTCTGCTCATTGATAGATTTTTTGATAAAACTCTTGGTAGTTTGAGAAGTGAAAATTTAGTTTCTAGAGAGATCTGATATTAGGGTTCGCATGTTCTTAATGGTTAGGGATCTCAGAAAAATCACTTAAAGTACGAATAAAATTAGAATGTAGTGGACATTTTGTTGTGGACGGGCGAGTGCTGCCGTGTACTGCGCACTCTACCATGTACTTTCAACATTAACTAGGCAAACAGATGAAAGGAATGTTGAGATACTCATAAGAAGTGAAAGAAAGATAATAAATACGGAAGTTACCTATTTTGAACGTTCACTAATTATTCCCTAACTACACTGTTATATGACAATATAACAAATTTCATGAATGTTATTTGAGAACACTACATTGTGCACAAAAAATTGTTGTTATTTTTCATCCTGCTTCTCTTTCCCAAACTTCATCACTGTATTTGTGCCAATTCAGTGCATTAGCCGATTGCTGTACTACTTTTGAGAAGGGTAATAGGGCCTACTATTGTTTTCCTCTTTCTCAATGTAAACACTAATATTTACACAATTTTTGGAGGATTGTCCTTTCAGAGGTAACACTCAACCGGATATATTTTTTTTCTTTAAAAGATGAATCCTTTGGTGGCCTCAGCTGTGTTTGCCAGTTTCTTCTAACATGTCAGAAGTCACAGCATTAACGAAACAATACCAATACGCAATAACAAACGATAACAAAATAACAATAATAATAAAATATAACAATGAAAGTTTAAGACTATTACAACAATAATAAATCCAACATTTCTTCTGAAAATTTGAAAAAAAAAAATTCATAATTTGGTGGGGTACCCAACATGAAGCCCTCCCGGACATTTTCAAAATTTTCTCAAAAACGGCTCCAAACTTTATCTTTAAGTTTCTTGTAAGAATAGAGAAAATTACACTTATGAAGGTGGCATAGGTCCAGTTTCCACTGTTAGCTCTGAATTTTCATATATTAAAAAGGAATTTTCTTTTGCGTCTTCTACAACTCCAAAATTAAAGAATTTTTGAATTTTCTCCTTCAAAAGAAATTTTCCATAAATATTTCATTCAATAAGATCAGGTATAGTTTTTGAACATTTTAGTAGTTTTCAAGCAATATTGCGTGCAATTTGAAGAAGTACACAAACAAGCTCCCATATTTTTCTTTAAACAGCTCCAAATTTTTTCTTTTCACTTTTGGTAGGGATAGTGCTAAATGCACTCTACAAGATGACATAAGTGCCATTTTGCCCTTTTCTTTTGTTTTAAAAAATTACAAAATATTAATTTTTTGACATGTTTCTCACATAAATATTTACATTAATGGCAATTTGTTTATATTCATGCATTTATGAGTACATGTGTTTTAAATAAGGTATTATGAAGTTTTTTGAAAACTGTACAGTTTTATGAGAGTGAGTTCAAAATACCACATTTTCAGAATTTGCTGAAATATCATTTTCACAAAAATTGCTCCAAATTTTTCTTCAAACTTCATCAAGAGTAGTGCTAATTGCACTATTTAATATCCCATAAAGTTCATTTTGGGTATTCTTTATTTTTTAAATAATTTGTTGTATAAATGTAATTTATTTTAAAATAACTCTTCTAATTCAATAGTTTATGGATTTTTACTAATTCTACAGATTTTTCTTTTACTTTATATGCATTTTTTAAATATTATTCTTCCCCTTTTGTATGAAAAAGTAGTACTAATCTCTTTTCGACACCCATTTATATGTGATAATGCAGGTTAGCACACAAGATTTAAGCCTCTGCGGAATAAGTATTCATTATTTCTATTTATTATTACAAACTGTTAATAAATAGAAATTGAAAATTTAATATCCTTATTAAAAAAAGAGAACAAGCTGAAACTAAAATCGGCATTAAATAATATCTAGTGTCCAGTTCTTACTGTTCATTGGAATGAAATATCATTAATTCTAAAGGAGAAAGAGTTCAAAAAGTTATTTCATTTGGAGACAAAGAGCAGCTCATCAATGTTTCAAAATTATAAAGCTCTTAATGGAAAGAGTAGTCAGTTTGCTGGGCTCCCACACTCTGTGAAAATTGTGTGTTGTGACACAACTGTTACTGGTTATTTAATGGCCCATATATCTTCATTGAACAAAGATTGGAGAGAGAAATGTTTTTCTCCTACTGTCATTATATCGATCAGTTAGTTCAGGATATCTGTAAATGCAAAATATGTGAGGTGACAAACAGTTTTTACATTACCCTTCTCTGGTACCTAAGAGACTGGGGAATCAATGATACTGGTATTGGATATCGTAGAAGATTCATTTTTAATCAAAAAAATTTTATTGTTTTTGATAATTTTTATCATAGAAGTTTTAAAAAGACTAAGATTGTCATATACTTATGATAGTACAGTAAAACCTGTTTAAGGTGGAAACTTGCCTTTGCCGGAAAAAATCTCAGAATGGCCAATTTTCCTGTACTGTCAGATTCGAAAGTATGCTGAATAAGCTGGAAACCTGCCTAACATTGAAAATAATTTTTACTTTGGTTTCAATGGAGATGAAACTGGACTTCTTTTCAGAATTTTACCTATGAAATCACTTGCAAAAAAGGAAACAACATTATGATGAAACGGTTATATACAAACTGACACTGTCTGGACAGTCGTTTCATGAAGGTGTATTAACCCCATTTACGTGGAGAAGTCTCTAATACATCTACAAAAGGCAGTGTGCTGTCAGTCCGGTTATTTTTGAGTCCCTCCTCATACATCACACTCACCCTTCTGCATTGCTTTTCAGACCTCCCCACAGTTTTTTGGTCAATCACTCAGTCAAGAACAGTTATTTAATATATCAGAAATAACAGCTGTTTTAGAGTTGGACTGATTATCGCAGAGATAGGGTTCGTTCTCCGGTCACTTCCGCGGCCGGAGTCAATGTACTCTTGGCTATCCGGGATGAGCCGCGTCTCAGTCAATTGTACGGATGTTTTGGCCATCTTGCTCTGGCATTCTTCAGAGCTGCTGCTGCTGCAGTTTAGCTCTGAAGAAGGCCACAGCAAGATGGCTGAAACGTCAGTACAATTGACCGAGATGCGGCTCATCCCGAATTGCCAAGAATACATCTCGCAGAGATAGTTCAGTTGCTTGATGAAGACATTCAAGTAATCATTGGTGATGGTTGTGGTAACTACAGTGTAGAAGTAAAGTATACTTTAATTGCACCATCCCCTACGAATGAGCTAACAAAGACAGTGATTATGAGGACACAGGAAGTCTGTTGCATAATTTTATTGACAATCAAGCTCAGGCAGTTTTGTCTAATTGAATTTGCATTGAAGTCCTGTTTCATGGAAATGGATGGATTAGTGTGGGTGTGGTTGCATCAAATTCGCTTGGAGAATGTGCAGTCAAGTATATGAAGAGAGATTTGTCAAAAGAGAGAACACATTAATATCGTTCAGCCAGCAATTATTAGCATATTTAATAGAAATATAGGTGGTACGGATCAAATGTATCAAGGCCTAAATCAATGTTGTATATCCACCCGAGGGAAGAAATGGTACTGGGAAATATTGATGTGGCTCATAGATGAAGTAATGCTAGGCAGATTTACAAGACGACCGGAAGGAAAGGAATTCGGAAGAGACATTTCCATCACACGTCATAAGATATAAAGCAAAGTGGTGGATCTAAAAGCTACTGTTCTCAAAGAAGTCAAAGTAAGTTTTGGCCAACTTTAGGTACAATCAAGCTGATCATCTGCTTGGGAAAGTGGAAAATAAAAAGAGATGATGATGTGTGAATGATGGGTGCAAAAGTGTTGTTCAATGTATGTGCATGAAATGTGACGTTGGTTCGTGCTTGAAATGTAATGTAACGTTTCACACAAAAAAATTGTTACTAATTTTCTGATGTTTAAAATAATAAACTTTTTTAAAAGAACTTAATAAGGAGATGTAATTTGTTTGCTACTGATATTTTGATCGTTGACCAGCCATAGTACTGAATAAATGCCTATGTTTTGCAAGTAAATGCTTGCCTTGTTGAACATTTTCTCTTTTTCAACCCAGTATAGTTATCACCTCTAAAGGACAAGTGTGACATATACATCTCTGTATGATATTTCAGACAGAACTTTTTTGATTCTTATTAGGAAAACCCTAATGTGTACATAAGGTTCTAGACATTATTCATGAATATGTAATAAATGAATTTACATAGATTCAGACTTAATCAGTTAACTGCTACCTGTCAATAAATTGTGGTCTGGGTTGTTGTTGTCGTTGTGTTAATATTTTTGTCTCTAACATCTGGTCTCTAGTTATTACAATTTACTTACAATTGTGTCAGTTCTAAATTCTATAAGTAAGATTAAGAATTATACTGAATGTATTCATCTCTAATTTCACTTGACAATCTATGCCCAATAGGTATAATATTACATAATGAATAACATTGTTTTGTGTTATCAAACTGATTTCAGTTTAATTTCAACTGCCAGAAAATTAAGTAAAATTAGTTAAGTTTATATTGGTTTCTAAAAATATAAACTATTAGTATCTGCAAGGACATGGTTCACAGCTTATCAAGTTGCAGAAGGCTGGTGTTGTTCGAAAGAATCATTCATAATTTAAATAATGCTGTGCACTTCAGAGGCTGAGTATGTCTACTTGCATTTTTTTTCCCCATGATTTCAGGTGCATGCTATTCTTGTGAACATCTTTGGTGGAATTATGCGATGTGATGTAATAGCAGAAGGCATCATTGCAGCTGCCAAGGAACTCAATTTAAAAATGCCAATTGTTTGCCGTCTCCAGGTAGGACATGCTTGATATGATAGAAATTGCAAGAAACTCATTTTCACATTGATGCACGAGGGTGACTGCACTTTCGAATAAGTCACGTTGGCTGTCTTCAGTTGATGTGAAAAAAGTCATTATGTGCTCAATGAAAATGAGAGAGGACATTGAGAAAGCGTAAAAGAAAAAATTGTATGTAAGCTTATTATTTCCCCTATAGATTTTTTCCAATTTTTAACTTTTCTTAGTTTCTTCCACGCATGAAATTTGTCAATAGGATATTTTTTATGCAAGATTTTTGTTGATTCTATCCATTTTGTTTTCCTATTTTCCAATGTGAATGAAATTCATTGTTAATTTGAATCCCTCGTAAAATAATTACCTTTTCCTCTAAGTTATACCTACCCAAGCTCTCCTCAAGAAATGAACTGCTTTAATAGCAGCTGTGAGTTGCATCTGTTCCCAACGTTACAGGGCACGAATGTGGATGACGCCAAGGTGCTGATTGCTTCATCTGGCCTAAAAATCCTGGCCTGTGACAATCTGGATGAGGCTGCTCGTCTGGTGGTGAAACTGTCCAACATTGTGAGCCTCGCCCGAGCTGCCAAGCTCGACGTCAACTTCGAAATTCCTCTGTAAAACAAAAGAAATCTTTGTCCTCTACTCTTCACAATCCTTGTCCCTCGTGCTCTTCTGCCTGCCCCTCTTTCAGTGATGTCCTGTAGTCTCAAACCGAAGGCACAGAATCATCTTCTGTTACAAGAGTCGGAGTAGTCGGGGACATTTTTTGTGTTCCACAAGTCCTGGTAGTGGTTGTTCTTGTCAAGGACTTGCTCTGCTGATTTAATGGCTAAGCCAGAGACTACTTCACCTTACATCTGCTACGGATAGGGTGTGTACATTTTCCCTTGGTGAAGTTTTGCTATATCCATTGTATTAAAATTCACTGCCATTATATGGCATTGATCTTGTTGTTACCTTGAGTAGTACCAACATCTTTGAAAGGTGCCAGGAATTTACCTGTCCTTGCAAGAAAATTTTGTGAAAAGTATTATAAAAGATGTATGTAGATTAGAGTATGAAATTTCTTTGCCTCAAAGAGTGGTTGACAAGTTCTGTCCTTTTAGGATGTACTTGTTTGTAGTGTATATTGCTTATGAGTGGTCTTGCTCCGAGGATTTAGAGCTGCACGAGGCCATTCGTTTGCCAGGGAGCAAACTGTAATGAAATACACCCTCAAGCAATCCTGGTGAAAACTGCCAACCTGCTTGAGATGCAACCCTTTACCCCCGCTTATTTATATGTAGCTTGTAAATGTTGAAGTCATTTTCTGTTACCCTCTGATAGAGAAATACTCTGTATGTTGTTGTTATTTTAATTTTTTTTTTTTGTACAAATATATTTAATTCTTGTAAAATATAGTAGTTATTTCACCCACCTTACTGCAATCCTCATCCTGCATTAGAAGTTAGCTCTGCCTGAGTACATAATTTGCTATGTAGGCCCATGGAATAGTGTGCAGTATGATTTTAATTTGTGATATAAAAAATATTTTTCTAATTCCCAAAGATATTGCAAGTGAAATTTATGATCAGTGGGTGCTCCTGCAAATTGTGAATGGTTTTGGTTAGCCTTTTGGCTGTTGTATTGTTCTTTCAGGGAAATTTTGCAGAAGAAGCTAATAAATCCTTTGCTAAAACTACTCTACCACTCATCATGGCCCCTGGGTTTGAGGAAGCCGCATGCAAGATAGTTGTCTGCTTGCAACTTGTCAAGAAAACTCAGCGTTAGTTAAAGCTGCAACAATCTGAACTAGATAAAAAGTCCTTATCACATGCACCCGCTAATATGTTTCAAGACTACGGAGCATTGCAAATATTGGAGGCACATTTGGTTATCGTTTATCAGTGTATATTAAATGATAATTTTCCATATTTGAGTTTGTAAATATATAAATCTTTGGGATGAATAAATATATTATATAAAGAATTTGTATTAATAAATGTGATTGTAGTTTTCTTCGAACTCTTCCAAGACACATTTAGTTTAAATGACTTCCACAAATGCCCAACTTGTTAGTTATAAAGCGAAGCTGGCTGACCAAATTCAGTGTGACCAACATCCTGCGTAAGGCAAGAATTTGGGAAGAACTCAGAGAATTTAGTAGGTTAAGAAAAAAACACTGTATTTAGAAATATCAATGAAATTTTCTGTTCATTAAACTGTCTTTACTTTTTGTATAGTACAAGAACGTAATGCAGTGCAGAAAAAGTTCCTTTTTTTTGTACGCATCTTTTATATGTGTTGTGGATCTTTTATACCAATAAATTTGATTTTACTTTCTCACGTAGAGAGGAAAACTGATAGTTTCGAGCAAGTTATGGTCGGCTTCAGAAAAGCACTATTTTAGGTACGGAAAGTGTTGGTTTGTTTTTCAGAACATCGATCTGACTGTCTTATTTGTGCGACTTTCTGTGAACAACACTAGAGCCTAAACTATTCATAAGATTTTTTTCCAAATTGTATTCCCTGATCTGGTTTGAATTGGAAGTCCTGCAATTTTTGAAAATAATTCTTTAATTTTTGGGGACACTTATCATGAAGCCCTTCGGACATTTTCAACATTTTCTCAAAACTAGCTCCTAATCTTTTCTTTAAATTTCTAGGTAAAATACAGTGGAGTAACTTAAGAAGATGCCATAAATCTGATTTTCACTGAACTGAGTTTTCAAAAATTTTAGGAGTTAAATTTTTTTGGAATCTTTTGTTCGTAATTATTATTAAAAATTAACTTTTTTTTTTTTTCTTTCATAACATCATATACAGTTCTCTGAAAATATTTGAAGTTTCCGTGTAATTTTGAGCACCTTAATATGTGCAACATTAAAAACAAGACTTCAAAAAATAGAACCTAATTTTTTCATTGAAATTTTTGTAGGGAAAGTGCTAAATGCAGTGCATGACATAAATACCATTTTGATGTTTGTTTTTAATACATTTTTCTAAAATTACACTTTTTTTTTACTTGAATACACACGTATACAGATTGTCCAATCGGCTGGTACTGGAAAAGGGGATCACCTGACGAAAGGTCATGAAAACATTTTCTTTGAGTATGTGGCATGTACCCATGCACTAGTCCCCCCCCCCCCCCCCCCCTTAACCCCCCCATTATTTGTAACTTGCAATTTTCGAAAATTCAGCGAGTTTAACAAGATCTGTGTCATTTTTGTAACAATTCTTTATTCTATTCCAGGAATTCCCTTCATTCTATCCCAGGAAGATTTGTTTTTCTATTTTGTTTTCATGAATTGCCTTTACTTGAGGAAAACATTATGAGAATTAGGTGCTTGTTTGTTTTTAATTCCACATACCTTATTTAAAGAGCAATTATTTTAGAATGGATTTCATTAAGGAAACGTATTTATCATCAGTATTGTAATATTAGTTTTTTGCAATTTTTGAAAATGGAGAGTTCACCGAAATATGGGATATGGGATGTTTTCACAATCATACTTTGCTCTAATCGAGGGGGAGGATAAAAAGAAAAATAGGTGGCATTTTTGAGGAAATCATTGTTTAAAAATTGCTTTATTTCACAGAGAATTATTGTAAAACCTATCATATTTTCTAAAAAATTGTACATGAACTCTGTAAGATCTCTCTTTGAAGAACAGTTTTATTCAGGAAAATATCTTCAAAAGCAGAATTTTCGCAGCTTCAGATTTTAAAATATCATGGTTTTTTAAGTCCTGAAATTTCCGTTTAACTTTTTTTAACAAAATAGGTTTTCAAACAATCCAAAACCGCTGAGCGATATGCAATTTTGGCATGAAAGTGATTCTCTGACAGTAAGTACTTACTGGCATTGTGATTGTTCAGTAAGTTTCCTCATATTGATTTGGAACCAATTTCAATGAACTTTCGGACAATGATGTTTTCTTTATTGAAACTAGTAGGAAATTTAAAGGGAAAAAAAATACTCGAAAATTCACACTACTCATCTCTCCGAGGTAATTACAATAGATCTAAGTAGTAGGCGAGAAAGTGAAAATGTACCAGGAATGTCCTTAGGGGAATACGAATATACCGCACCCCCTTACACACCGTGTCCTGACTTGCTGTACCCGTTTATAGCGCACTGCTAGAAACATACTGTTATTAGCAGCCGGCTTATTAAAACGGGGTATCAGATATTAAATTTCACTTTCAAAGTTGCGTATTGCTATTCACAAATTATTGGTCAGGAGCAGGAATTGAACCCGCTACCCTGATCCCACAACTTCGGAAGGAACCGACTTAACCACCGTAGCCACCCAGCTACGAGTGAGGAAGAAGTTTAGTATGTGAATAACTACGTACGTAATGAATTACATTTTTGATAATAAGAATCTACTTGTTCCTGAGTGGTTAAATGCTGAAAAATTAACAATCAAATAAATTTGATGATTAGAAGGCTCTATTTTTTACTTTTACAATTTATTTTTAAAAATTCCTATTATCTATCACAGATTCTTGATTTAGCATTCAAAATATATTCTATATATTTCTATTATGCTTTTTCTTATTATATTCCTTAGATACTGAGATTTTAAAATTATTTCATTCTTAAAATGATAGAAACCAAACGCTTCTTTTCTTTTAGAAAGTTATTTCACTCGTTTTGTCTATCATGAGATTTAAACACAAGTCACTTTCCTAGTCTTACCTATTTCGTACGTTCTTTGACACCCGAGATTTTAAAAAATATTTGCATGAACAAGCCAGGATATAGATATATCGAGGGACTCGGTAACAAATTTTCCTCCAACGCCACCTGTGCCCAAGGTGGCGTCACTATCGTGGAGTACATTTAGGACAGGTCGGACTTCTTATTTTTCCTGCTAGGGTCGCTCGGGGGTTACAGTTTCACTAGAATCCAACAGATAGCAGGAACTCCGACATCACTCCAAGGCAATTCTATTTACATCATCATACGAACATCATGACCAGGCGTCAACAGCATTACGGCCAGAGAGTATATTACGGCAGTGATTACGGCAGCGCGCTGCTGCGCCTTCTGGAATTGTTTCTCCAGAGGGCGCTGATTCGGGTAAAAATTTAAAGCATCTCCATTTTCTGGATTTTCTGCCAAATTAGAAAATCACTTTATCTTAATTTATCCAAAGAAATAGTGAATAATAAAAATCCATTAACATATTACTCAAATCTTTATAAATTAAAACTCTCGTATTATTTTGTCGATATTTATTAAAAGAGAACTAATGACTTTCCATAGATTAATACTACTGAACTAATGATAGTAAAACGGCGAATTTTCGACAGAAAAGCTCTTATTACAGTGCCCTGGTAACGAAGATGTGGATTCATCCAGATTCTAAATTTAGAAAAAAGTCCTCTTATACCTGGTGTAGCCAGAATCCTTGTTTTGTGGGTCCCTGAGACAGAAAACTCAATTGACAGCTAAACGTGTGTCCGTCCGTCTGTCTACGAATAACTCTAGCGGCTAAACCTTTCAGCTGATTTTCTCCAAAATTCATATTCCCTGATTAATCTGGCTAATGTTGCGGCCCCTTAAATTTGAAATTGATAATTAATTTTGCAGAAGAAATAGATATGAAATAAAAATTGCTAGCCTTCAGTCGCCCGCTCCCAATTTACGTAGTTGGATACTACGTAAGTTAAAATGTATATATTATTTCATATTTCATTTTAATACTATTGTTTATATTGTTTTTATGTTACATAGTTTTAAATTGCGTTCTTAATTGTGATAAATCTGGATTGTCCTTTCACTTGGTTGCCATTCTAATGATCTTCTGAGGAGACTTCACTCGTCCATTCGCTGTACATGTCCAAACCAAGTGAGTTGTTTCTTTTCAATTTCCTCTATTATTTATTTAACTATTCATTATTTACTTAACCTGTCCATTTCTAATTCTTTCCCTTCTATATATTGCTGCAGCTCTTCTGAGGAACTCCATTTCCAGGACTCTCAGTTTTCTGTTGTTCTGAAAGCTACCATATTTCTGCTCCATACAATGGAACACTTTCAATCATACATTTGTATATTCTTATTTTCGTTTTCTTGCTTATATTCGGATCCCGAATTGCTCCTAAAATTTTTCATCCTTTAAAGAATCGGGTTTCACATTCCTTTCCATAAAAACCCGGTTTCCCCAATTGTTCCCAAAACTTTATGTATTCTGTTCTTATTATTTCTCCAGTTTCCATTGTTAATACAGTTTTTTAGTATACTGTTTTTTCTAAGTTGAGGCTTAGTCCCCATTTTTCATAATATTCTTTTATCTTCCTAGTGATATTCAATATCTTCCTGTTCTTGCGCCTTCAACACCTGATCATCAGCGAATTGTAGGGTATAGAGTTATCTCAGAGTGTAGAATAGTGTTATCATCAAGTGGTATTCCCATCCCAACACATTTTATTTTCCATACCTATAACACTGGATTAGCATACATTTTAAAGAGGGTAGGTGCCAAACAGCATCCTTGTTGTAATCATTTTGATGTAGAGAATGTTTAGATCATCTGTTTCCCAAGATTAACCTTTCCCTTTTGATCTATATACAATTCCTTCACTTCGTATATATTAAGATTGTATTTACTTTACTTTTATTCATAATTTCCCATAATTTTATGACTGGCACACTATCACACGCCTTTGCTATAACAAGGAAGTTCTCTCCCTGTTTGCCATTTCTTTTGCATCACCTGGGACAGACAATTTAGGTTATCTAAACAAGGTCCACTCGCCCTAAAACCACTTTGTTTTTCTTCTTCGTACTCCTTGTTTCCATCTGCTATTAATTTCTCTATATTTCTTACTGAACGTGTTTGTCACTGCTAGCCCTTTATAATTTTCACACATGTCTTCCCTTCCTTATATATA